AGCTCCATATATGACCCATTTACCGAACAGTGTTCCGGTTTGGATTGCACCGACATCTCTTTTCTAAGTTTGGCCATCTCTTTATCCTTGCAATTTAAGTTCTTCAAGTCATCAATCAATCCTTTCATTTATGTGATGGACCTGCATTAAAAATAGACATTTACCATAAATTATAGGTATCTTATATTATTAGATACATTCTTATAAAACATGTTTTAGTTAAGGAGTTATTGATACTTCAAGTGCAAAATGATGATATAAAACCTTGATAAAAATGCACTTTTAAGTACTAATCACCAACCGTTTGGTGTAATCGACACTTCTGCTATGAAAGGAACTTGATTTGTTGTTAACATAAGTTATAATCATAAATACCTGACAAAATTTACAAGTATTAACATTATTCAAGTAAGATAACTACTGTAATCATGTTAACCATTTAAAATGCTATTGGAACCTCCTTTGTGTGTGGTTTCCAGTTGAGTAATAAAAGGAGTTTATACTATATTTATTTGAAATACCATTAGTGGATCCTCTAACATTAACATTTATTTTTATTGTTTAATCTTCACATTAATCTTACATCTCAAAGTCCTCTTTAACTTCTTTTTCTTATTGTTGTTGTTATTGTTGTTATCATCATCATCATCATCATTATCATCATCATCATTACTATTATTTATAATTTGTACAATTAAACTCCCTGTGGTTCGGTCCCGATCTTGCCAGATTATTTATTATTTTGACACTCCTACATTTGGGAGAAGACATCAATCTTTTGATCATGTCAACGTCATCATAGACATATTGTAGAAACACGTCTTACTTTTCTAGGGCAATGCAAACCACCTTTTTGATTTTGGAATTATGCTTTTAAAACCTCGATTTATCTTATAAATCACATGCCGACTTCTGTTCTTACAAATAGATCTCTGTTTGACTGTTTGTTCCTACAATTTTCCGAGTATCATTTTTACTTTTGGTTGTCTCTACTTTCCTTTTTTATCGTCCTTATAAGAATCATAAATTAGATTTTTGTTCCTCTCCATGTGTGTTTCTTAGTTACAGCTCCTCGTACTTTGATTATTGGTGTATTAGCATTGCATTTCAATGTATTTATATCTCTCGTCATGTCCAATTTCATGAACATGTGTTTCCATTTGATAATTCTGAACATATTGTAAAGGTTTCCTCTACTCCCCCCACCCAAACCGGCATTACTGTCTTCGCAAGTCTCCTCCACTCCCCATTGCTCCCTACCAATACAACCCTATCACCACAATCAACCTCCCAACCATATCGTTAACCCTATCCTTGCCCATCATCACATACATGTTTATCTAACCATTATGCTACAGGTACAACTTGTAAATCAGTCCTTTTTACCTTCCCGTATAACCCCTCTATTGGTGTTGAGCCAACCTCTAGTTCTTTCTTTACTTCTCCTAATTTGGCCAGAGTCCAAGTTGCTTCAGATTCTTCCTTTACTATTGCCAGTTATCCGGTGCAGCAGGACATCTCATGTTCACCCTTTTCCTCTGCATCGCCACCTCTACTCAGTCAACATCCCATGGTTCTTCGACTACGGTAGCTAAAGAGAGCCAATCTGGTTGGTTTCGTTGTCGCTATCACAGCCTCCCCTCAGGTACTACACTTTCCCTCTTTTGAACCTTTGTCATTCTCTATAGTTGACAGGTATGTTGTTTGACATGATGCTATGTATGATAAGCTAAAGGCTTTGCGCTCTAATCACACTTGGTCATTCCTTTTCATTCTTCGATGAACATTGCTGGTAGTAGATAGGTGTATCGAATCAAATGCAATATTAATAGCAGTATTGAGCTTTATAAAGCACGCCTCGTTGCTAGAGGTTTTACTTAGCAAGAAAGCATTGATTATTCTGAAACCTTCGGTCCAGTTATTTAGTAGGCCACTATCCAATTAGTCTTTTCCATTACAGTTTCATATAATTAGAAGATTCATCAACTTGATATTCATAGTACCTTCCTTAATTACATTCTCATTGAAGAGGTCTACATGAAACAACCTTTGGGTTTTGTTAACTTTACTCTCCCATCTTATATATGCAAATTGCATAAGTCATTGTATGATTTGAAACAAGTACCGAGGGCATGGTATACTCATCTAAGTGATTTTTTGCTCTTCATTATTTTTCTTGCCTCCAAGGTTGACACCTCCTTGTTTATCTTATCTAATAGCACTAATATATTTAATCTTTTAGTGTATGTTGATAATATCTTGCTTATGGGTAGCAACTTTACTATGCTCCATCGTCTAATACAATTATTAAGCTCTAAATTCAAGCTTGGTGACTTAGACGCAGTTCACTACTTTTTAGGTATTGAAGTTCAGTCTACAAGTATGGGCTTAATGCTTCGTCAGCATAAATATATTCTTGACATCCTTACTTAGGTTGGAATGACTTCGTACAAACTTGTTGATACTCCAGTCTCTTCTTCAAAAATTACTATGTTGCCAGATACTTCATTCTCTGATCTTATATGGTTTCCTCAAATCGTGGGTGCTTTTCAGTATCTTACCTTCACCCACCCAGATATCTGCTTTGTTGTTAATAGGGTCTGTGAGTTTATGTATGCTACTACAAATTTTCATTGGGCTGCTATTAAGTGTATTTTACATACCTTAAAGGTACAACATCTTACAGTTTCCATATCACTCGAGATTCCTTCTTTGCTCTACATGGCTTTATAGATGTAGAGTGGGCTGGTAGTATTGATGATCATAAGTCTACGGGTGGCTACCTTGTCTTCTTTGGTTAAACTTCGATTTCATGAAAATTCGGCAAGCAATGCATAATTGCTCGCTCCTTGACTGAGGTTGAGTATAAAGCCTTAACGGATGATAGTACTATCGAGGTTAGTTGGCTTCAATATGTAATAGATCTGCAAGTTCCCTTAATCTCTGCTCCCATGATTTCATGTGATAACCTTGGCGCCACCTATCTCTCAGTGAATCTTATTTTCCATACTCGTACTCAGCATGTTGAGGTAGATTATCACTTTATTTGTGACCGGTTTGCAAAGAAAGAAATTTAGATTTGCTTTATCCACTCTTAGGATCAGTTTGTCGATGTCTTCACCAAGTCACTTTTTGCTGCGTCCTTCATTGCCTTTTATTTCAAGTTTCAGGTTGATCCTCTACCCTCAGCTTGAAAGGGCATATTATAGAATGTAAAGCATGTATATATCTGAATATGAAATTAATGTAGGATTATTCTAATGTTGTAATTGATTAGTACTTATAAGTGTATTTTTTATGAAGGTTTTATATCATCATTTTGGTACTTGAAGTATCAATAACTCCTTAATTAAAGCATGCTTTATAATAACATATCTAATAATATAAGATACCTTTAATTTATGGTAAATATTCATTTTAAATGTAGGCCTATCACATAAATGAAAGGATTGATTGATGAATTTAAGAACTGAAATTAAAAGGAGAAAGAGATGGCTATACTTAGAAAAGAGATGTCGATGCAATCAAGACCGGAACACTATTCAGTAATTAGGTCATATTTGGAGCTGTAGATCTCAGATTTAGGTCTATATTATATGGATGGAAAGGTAATACATAGGCCTACAACTTTTATATGGAGCTCAAGATTTAAAAAAGCTACTGTCAAGTCCAAATTGGAGCAACAACAAAGAAGTCTGAATCTGTCCTCTAGCCCAAGCACTGTTCAGTGTTTGGCCCATATCTAGATTTTTAGAAGTCCAAATGATCTCAATTTTTTACACAAGAAAGTTGAGACAATTTCTTACAACTTTCATGTTTTCAAGTGGCTCCAATTTTGAC